TTGGGTGGGGCGGCGTTAGAAGGATTCTCCTCCAACAGTTGGAAGTAGTCCAAAAAAATAGTTCTTATAAGTCTAGAGAGGTATATATATTTTCTTTTTCACTTAAGTGGGTAGCTTCTTTAGGTGCGCGATCGACCAACTCATTGCCCAGTATTCCCGCATGACCTTTCACCCAAACGAATCTAACTCTACCTGAAGAAGAAATGATAGTATGTATGTGTCTTCTGATGTTGCAAAGCAATACATTGTCATATTTTTTCATTTGGAATCTGACAAGATAATTGATTCGCTCACCCTGTTGCTCGTTTCCATAGTAATGCCCTCTCTATCGCGTAAATCTCAGCTGTATAAATAGATGCATCATTAGATATTCGGACTTTGTGAGCCATTTTGGTGGATGAAACGTAAAAAGCACATCCAGTATCTAGGCTCTATAAAACATCAATGCTATTTTTGGATCTGAACCTTGCTTAGTGTTTGCTACACATCTTAACATATTCATGCCTTTTTCACATTTTTTTTACACATGCTTGATATGAGACGTCCAGGTAAGTTTTCTGTCCAAAACCATACCTAGATACTTATGCTCGTGCTTAACTGGTATATTGATACCACATAATCTTATCGTATTTGGAGTAGAGAGGCGAAGTCTTGAGAAAAATGTGATGCATGATTTTTCGGCGGAAAGTGTAAAACCATGTTGTGTGAGCCAATTCTTTAAGCAGTACATTATGCATTCTAGGTCCGATACACATTCACCGTACGACTTACGAACCGTGTATATACAGAAATCATCTGCATACTGTATGACTTTGATTGAGTTATCAAACATTTTATGCAATTCAGCTGTATACACGTTGAATAAAATGGGGCTCATCACTGATCCCTGTGGTAATCCTTGAGAAACCAATCTAGGTCCATGCAAGTTGTTATAAGAATCTCTCACAAAAACTTGTCTCTCACGATATAGTTCGGTAATCCTGCAGACAGCCTTTATATCGATACCAAAGTGATCAATTTCTCCTCGAGAGTATTCAAGTCCACAGAATCATATGCCCCTTTCAGGTCCAAGAAAAAGCAGGCTAATATCTTATTATCAGAAAAATTGTTTTGGATATCAGTAACTATATGTGCTAAGACATCAATTGTGCCCAAACCTCTTCGAAAACCGAACTGAGTAACTGGAAATAGATTTTTTTTTCCCACATGTAATTCCAATCTTGATTTTAACATCCTCTCAAAAACCATTGTTAGGCATGACATGAGGGCGATAGGTCTATATGAGGAGGGTAGAGTTTTATCCTTCCCACCAGTCATTAAAAATTTTTAATAAATATTGCTTCGCATTCAGAGGGAGTAAACCAATCATCCTGTAAGTGACACTGTCGATACCTAGCGATAAACTATTAGTTAATTTAATGACATTCTCCAATTCTTCTATTGTCAAGTTTTCATAAAATTCCTCATGTGCGGAATTGCTATTTCGCTTATTTATTCTGATAGGAGTGTTTATAGCAAAACTTGGGGCAAGATTATCCAAAAGTTTATCGATCAATTCCGGATGCAATGTTGTCCTACCTATCTGATAATTTTTGTTCGATATTTTTTTCATGAATTGACATACTTTAGTGGGGCTAGTGTTTTTATTCAACGTAATAATGAATGTGACCCAGCAATCTGATGACTTTTTTTTAAATAACAACTTAGTCTTAGCCTCAATATCTTTATACCCCAGATAATTATCATAATTTGACAGAGTTCTGTAATTTGATAATTTTTCTTTTCGTTGTTTAGTGATTTGAGTACATTCCTCATCCCACCATAATGGTCGAGAGGTGGAGGGTTGGAAGGGCAATATCTCGGTCATTGACTAAGAAGCTGCTTCCGTAATAGTTTCCAAAAAACAAGAACATTTATCTTTTGTTCCTGCATTGATTTTTGTTGTTTCGAAATCAAAGTTTGCTAATAATGACTGAAACCTCCCAGTTGGCGGATTTTTCGTTCCATTTTGTTGTAGGGTTGATTTTGCCAGGCAGAATATCAACTTCAAAATTGATCAAGATCCCCAAGTATCAGATAGTACTTGCCAGTCACATTTACTGATTAGGTTAACAGATGCAATGCTTAAGTCAACGGCAGAAGGACATTGATTCGGCCTAGATACTCTTGTAGCTGTGCCATCATTGAGCACGACCAAGTTATAGTTATCGATTGCTTCGACCAATTCCCTACCACTAACCGTATCATCATTTGAACCCCATAGTGTTGCATGACAGTTGAAATCCCCACAAAATAAAAGTGGACTTTGAAATTGAGAAAAAATATTTTCCGACTCTTTTCTTTTGACACGTGCATTTGGTGGTTTATAAATTGACAAAACAGAGAGGTTGATCTGCTCTATATATACCGCACAGATTTCAATGTATTAATGATAGTTTTTTTTCAGTGTAATATTCCGAAATATATTTTCCTTGGAAATCAGGATAGCTACGCCACCTGTTCCATCTGGACGGTCTATGTGAACTGTATTGTATCCCTTCATTGTTAAGTTTTGAGTCGGCTTTTTCCATGTTTCTGACAAAATGATTATGTCAGTTGGTGATGTATTTAAATAATTCTGCAAGTTTGCCCTATTTTTATTAAAAGATCGACAATTCCATTGTAATATTTGAATTTTTCTGTTAATACGTAGATTCATTATCACTTAAGGTTATTATATCTGTACTATTTTCTGTATTGAATATTTCAGTTATATTATCTCTGACAAATTGCTCTGTGCGTTCTTCAATATTATTAACTTCAACTGTACTTTTTTTAAATATCCCATTAATGAAGTAAGTTATTTTTGTTACAAGTTTTTCTTTATATTGCATGAATTCATCTCTGTATGGGTTTGGTATTATTGGTTTTGATTGAGATAGTTGAGGGGTTTTTATTGAGGGGTGGCGTAGGTGATAAAGGAGGAGTGTTTTGTTTTCGTTTTTTTGGATTATTTATTGTAGTGAAAGATGGTCTACGTACCGGTTTGTGAACGAAGTTGACTTGTGATGACTCTAATTGAGTGGGGAGCAAATTGGGAAAATTTTGTAGATTATTTAAAATTGAAAATCTATTATTAGTAACAACCTTACTGTATGAAGGGTTATCGAATAATAACTCAGCTTCTTTGAATGAAGACGACTCTTGGGCCATTATTTTTTAAATTTCTTTTTGCCGAGAAAAATGAGGACACTTTTTAGATATGGAAGTGTGATCATTACTTTTACAATATATACAGTATGATTATTCCTGGCATTGTTCATCTTCTGGGTGAGTTTTAGAGCAATTACGGCAGCGTTGTTGTTTGGATTTAAACTTACCTTGATACTAATCTATGTTTTTATGATATTATAAAACACAATTTATTATATATGGCACTCTCACGAATGTTTATATTTGAAGCACAATTATGATTCAATGTCACTCTCGGATTTCACAAATCGCAAATTTTTTATCTAGCCCGAACACCTGTAGACAGTTTGACTGCCGATGCTGAACTGATGGTGGAAATAAATTCATTATTGATTTAAATGACGACAGTGATAGTGGAACGGAGAATATGGAAGAGGAATTATCAGAAGCTTTCGAAGAATTAAACGTCTGTTTGCTGATTTCGAATGCAGTGGACTTCCAAATGAGGCAGTACCACCAGAAAAAATGCATAAAATGCATAAACTCGTTTTAAATGATCGAAGAGTGGAGATCTGTTCAAAGTGGGTGCAGCGCGAGCTCACTGTTGACCAAAAACAGGAACGTCTTGATAATTCTGAGCAGTGTTTGGCCGTGTTTGAACATAACAAACTGGAATTTTTGCGTCGATATGTGACAATAGATGGAACATGACTCAATCACTTAACTCCAGAATCAAAACAACTGGTGAAACTCATCCAAAGCACCCAGAAGCACAACAATCGGCGATATTTTGGGATGTGCGTGATGTAATATTTATCGACTATCTTGAGAAAGGAAATCCTATCAATAGTAAATATTGTATAGCGTTATTGGAACGTTTGAAGGCCAAAATTGCGGAAAAATGACTCAATTTGAATAAAAAAGTGCTGCTTTACATGCTCCTATTTTTAAAGTGTTCAAATATAAATATCCCAAATGGTATGCATCTGAGATCATTCGCAATATCACGCGAGAAGTACAAGAAAACTGGTAATATGCAATACAATTATGAATTCAAGAGCCTTAGATTTGTCTTCAAAAAACAAATCAAAGCTGCATATGATATTTATTTAAATTCTATACAAGAATCTGTAGTATTTAATCCTCAATCATTGGGATCATACGTACGCTTCAAGAATAGAACCTCCCGTAGGATGAAATATGATGGCTTCACTATTGATTCTCCAGATTTTTTTCACAGTACATATTCACACTCTGCAGTTGAGGAAAATATTTTGCATCCATACTTATCAAATTCAAATTGTTTTTATGATAATATAAACTTTGAAAACATCAACGAACAGGAAATCTCAATTGCAGCATGTAAACTAAGAAATAAATTCACGTCTGGTCCTGATAAGATACCATCCTTTTTGGTGAAAGATTGCATCGGTGTATTGGTCTATACCTTACTGACATTTTTCAATCTTGCAGTTAAAAATAATAATTTTAATGAATTATGGAAGACATCACGAGTTTGTCCCATTTTTAAGTCTGGAGATCCATCTGATATTCGGAATTATCGTCCTATCTCAATCCTATCGAACTTTGCAAAACTTCTCGAAATCGTCATCTACAATCGCGTACATTCCTCAGTTCGTAATATAATATCTCTGCAACAACATGGATTTATGGAAGGTATCACGTAGGTATTCCATTGAATCCGTCCGCTGTAGGTACAATATGCCATGCACCTTCAAATTTTTTGTTTGTTTTTACCAACCGTTTTTTGTCAGCCGTGACAGTTGAGTGAAAAATTGTGTTTTCTGTGAACTTGCTGAAGAGAAACAGTTTTGCATTTGTTGTTTGTGTTTCTTGTTCAGTATTACTTCTAGACAATGGGCTAAAAGTTCAGGCAATGTCACGTTTGACTGAACATCAAAGAGTAGCAATGTTAATACTACTAGGATGTGGGAACAAAACTAGAACCCAGAAAAATGTAAGTGAAGTGTTCAATAATAAAGATCCTGATCATCACATTTCTCAATCTACCGTTATTAGAATAGAAACGAAATTTCGTGAATTTGGGACTGTCAAAGATATTTCAAAACCAGGCAGGAGTGTATTGATTGACGATGGGAAGAAATTGGATATTTTGGTTGACATTAAGGAAAATCCACATAAACCTACCCGACAACTTGCCGCCGATTACGACATAAGTCAAAGTTCGATATTGCGTGTTTTTAAAAGTGAAAGGTATCACCCTTTTAAAGTACAATTGGTACACGAACTCAACGAAGACGATCCAGATCGGAGAACTGAGTTTTGCGAAATAATGGAAGCCAGGTGTCTGCGAGATCCTTCATTTAAGAAAAATATATTGTTTTCCGACGAGTCAACTTTTTTTTCAAATGGAACAATCAACAGACAGAACTGTCGATATTGGAGCCGAGAAAATCCCCATTGGATGATGGAGGCCCACACTCAATATCCCAGAAAAGTAAATGTTTGGGCAGGGATTATAAATAATCACATAATTGGTTTTTCAACGAAACATTAACCGGTGAACGGTACTTGGAGTTTTTGACTAATTTTTTAGTTCCAACGTTGGAAAGACTTTTTCCAGATAATGATAATCCGAATCAAATAGATAGGAGTATCTGATATCAGCAAGATGGTGCTTCACCACGCATCTTACGGCTGACGTTCGTGCATATCTGAATGAAGTTTTTCCCAACAGATGGATTGGTAGAAGAGGGGCCATAGAGTGGCCAGCCCGTTCTCCCGAAAACACACCGCTTGACTACTTTTTGCGTAAATAGAGCAAACAATATTGAGAGTTTGCAAATCAGAATAAGAGAAGAAATAGAACGTATCACTCCCGAAACCATTAAATATGTTGTTGATAACTTTCAGCAACGCCTTTATTATTGTCAAGAAACTAATGGCCGTCAGTTTGAACATTTGATCTGAAGACTTCCATTAGTTGCGCATTGATTGCTACCGCTTTAATAAATGATTTAGACACAATTTATTCAATTGTTATTTTTGACGCATGCACGAAATTGAAAAATTATGACTTGGATGTACTGAAAATTTAATACCCTTCAAAATGAGTCATAACTTGACCCCCTTTTGCATTAAAAATAATTGGGGGGTGGCTGTCACGTTGAGGGGAGTGAAAGAGGGGGGATTTTTTTATGTCACAGAGTGTCTTTTCGAATACATGAGTCGACGTGTTTCAGGATTTTTCTTGAAAATGTCTAATAACGTAGAAAATGAATTCATACGTTACATATGGTGCTCACTGTATGTGGCTCTTGATAGAGAAAAAATCATTCAGCTGCAATTACATAGGATAGCCCTCTCAGATGTCTAATAGCCCCGAATTATATCAAATCATGCTATCCCTTTGATCTGTAAACTGAGAAATTCCTCACGCTGCATTTACTATATGGTAAGTAGTTACACTGAAGGTGGCGTTACCATGGTTACGCGTGTAACACATACTGACATTCAATCACAACAAATAAAGTTTGGTAATGTTGATTGAAATTATTTTTATATACACAGGTTATTAGAATGTCGAAAAATACAGATACAAGAAAGTGTGATTTGAAATTGACTGGTGACAAGGTATCACTAAATTGTTTTTCAGGCTTATTTCAAGTATTCAAAATACACGGTTTTCAGATAAGTTTGGAAACCAGGAACTCGAATATCTTGAGTACCGCAAGTTCGAAGTGTTTACTGCTTTCGAGATCATTATCGAGACCTGTTTCTGCTCTACCAGTTCTGATTTTAAATAATGAGGTGAGTTTGTTACACAATTCATATTGAAAAATCAGTTTTCATCGACCTTTTTTGGGTATTTTCACCTTCCACAATCTGGAAAATATGAAAATTATAATGGAGAACTTTCTACAAGTGTAGAAAAGGCAAACTTTCAGTTTACCCCTATAAGTTACTGTGTAATTTATTTCAATATTTATATTAACCATAATCGTCCATTTTTGAAATGTGACGTTATTTGATCTTTCTGTGTTTTTATTTTTCTATTTTTTATTTTTTCCCATGATACGAGTATTACAGAAGCTTTTCGTTCAACAGAGAAATTCACTTACTCAGATAATTCAGAAGGGGATTCAAAAAAATTTCAATCTAATGATGTTTGTGAAACTGATGTCTCAATCTGATGCGTCGAAAACTGGTTTTATTCATTTTTTGAATTTTTTCCTGTCGGATGAAGTTTTATTCTGCTGCTATTTAAGCTTGTCTTGGTACTTCAGTCTGAAAATCATACTGACAGGAACTTAGTAATATCAATCGTATGAGGATAACTTCAGGAATATACATCCCAAGATCTCTGACAATATTTCTATGAACATTGTAAAATATATTATTGTCTGGAGACTGTATCGAGAAGAGATACATACGTACTAGAAAATAAATATTTCGCAATGAAATATCGAAATATTATTCCCCCCAACTACCTACACCATAGGTTCTTGTAAATACCTGCCAGAAAATAAATACTTTCCAGGCTAATACCACGCTGGATATTGAATTGTATCCGACAGACATTTATGCAAGATACCTCACAGATGTTTCTCGTTCATCCAGCAACAGGATCATGCCGAAATCATTCAGTTTGAGTCATCCCAGTTAGCGAAATGCGCGTCGAGAGGTGTAATTTCTGGTTACCTTGGAAAAACTTTCCGACCGGGCGTAAAGTAGCACTTTAACGCCCGCGAACTACTTTATCGCCCGGCGGGCGATAAATTCGTTGAGAAGGCGCTAAAGTGAATTTTAATCTCATATCGATAGAAATATATATTTCGATGGTTTCAATAAATGCAAAATCATTGAAACATATCTGAATTATACAGGAGTGCACGGGTCAAGAATTCATCAACCACCATCATCAGATTATTGTACTCATAAGTAACTCATAAAAAGCTATCATTCTTGCTTATCTACTGATATCTCTATTAACATGTACATTTAAAGTAGCTTTCAGCATGGAATAATATGACCATATGAAAGAGGGCTTACGATATTTAGATTCTTCGAGAAAATAGGCAAGAATTTCTTATTTTTTACATTATTCTGGTGCACCACCTCACGAATTCTTCATACACTTTGCCCTATATTTTCTTGTATTCACATGTTGTGATATATTTTATTAAATAACGTTTGTGGATATCAAATCGTGAGGTTTTGTTTTTGAAATTACTATAGATATTCATCAAATAACGGCCGAATCAATCAGATTACTTATTTCTGGTTGAATACAAGTCACACTTTCTTCGTCACTTGAATCCATTTGAAAATCACTATTACAATATCTGTGACCACAAACATTGATAGCAAATATGGCTACTAGCCTATATAATCCTATTTGGAAAAATAGACTTAGTTGCCATGGTAACATTCATTCCATCACTTCTTGATTTATTCTGTTTCCGATATGATATGAATATACATCCTCACTATAGTCTTGATGTATTTCTATCGTGATCTAGATATAAAGAGGTGTTTATCTACATGAAATCAAATACACCGGTCGTGCATAAAATGTTGTATATATTTAAAGCCTAATTTGCTTTTATGAACCTAGAGTCTCTAAAAGCCTATTTTACGCTCTTGATACATGAATAACTATTAAGAAGTTTGAATTCAACCAATAAAAATGAATGTATCATTCACTTTTATGTCAAATTTCAAAGTTTGTTCAATTCAAAGATATCTGATAGTCCAAAGTAATACTAATTCTTTTTTTTTGGAAATTGAAAATTTTGAAATGATGAACACATTTCTTTTTTTGACAGGTACCAATTTGATTTTTGTTTTTTTCATTCAAGGACTCATGTGATGAAATTTCAAACTCCCGGCGACCATTTTCTGCGGGATATGTTCCGAAAAAGTCGAAATATTTCCACAAAGATTATTTTCGTAATAGTCTGGAGAGCATTGAAGGTACGAATTGATATTATCATTATTCGTGTATCTATATATGATGATCCCCACCAGAAATATTGATTACTAGCTTTTACCCGCGGCTTCGCTCGCATTTATGCCATTGAATTAAATAATAAATAATTAAATAAGTTGCTAGATGTTGAAATTTTTTTGAAAATTTTTTAATCTCACATACCTTTTACAATCTTTTCACAGTATTTTTAAATGTTTTCATAGAGGAATTAAAAAATTTCAAATCTACGTTGTATGTATTCGCAAGTCTTAAAATTCTACCTACAGATTCATTCCGGCCATAGTTGGTGCGACAAAAGGGAACTTTGAAGATTTCCGAATTTCTTGTCCTTCTTGGATTCACATTTAAAGTTATAAGTTCGACAAGTTTCGGGAAATTGATGCTATCTTTGATTATTTTATGAATTAGTGTAAGGTCTGCTTCTATTAGCCAGAGTACTCTAGTTGAGAATGTCCAATATGATTTTATAGTTATATTCACCAATATGATATCCCAGTTTATATGCAGAGTACCTTAAAAACCTATTTAGAAGTATTATTTGCAATATGGGGTTTAAATGACATTTTTGGGTACAGATAAATCGTACTGTAATAATTCTGTATCACTTGAGTCATGAATAACTTTAAACATCTTCAAGTCGTCATCAGCAAACAAAAGAAATTCATTATAAAGAATCTTCTTTCAAGTCATTTACAAATAGGCTGAAAATGAGAACACCCGATGAAACTAGTTCTCGTATTGTAATCGAATAGTAATCAGTATAGTTTCGTCTTTTTTTTAGTGAATTATATAAATTATCTCTCTCTATCTATCTGTACAATGTACTGTCACTCAGAGGTAGACACCTATATTCTCTAAAAATTTGTTGGGAGATTCAAATTTTGAGAGAACATGAATAAACAAGATTTGAAATCGTCAGGACTAGATGATTTGAATGCTGACAAAGATATATATGTTGAATATATAACGTAAAAATGTAGGAACGGAGAAAATATAAAATATCTGAGATGGATTTACAAAAATAACAATGAAATAAACATTCAATAAAATACAATAGAATCAAATGAAGGTTTTACATCCGGTATAGTTTCGGTATCGACAACTCATTCCGTGCATACGAGCAGAATATAGCAGACCTAACTAATGGTATTCAGCTGAAAGCGCCAATCCTGGAAAATATTCCATAGCATTAAAATAGAACTAACCTGTCAAGTACTGATAATGAAGTAAATCATATTTCCCACTTTTAATGCTGAAATGTTTGTAGCAAGTCATTTACAATCGAGTGTAGATATAGAGGTCATTGATATTTCATAACATGCAATTGCAGTCAAATCTACCAAACTACAAATAAAATATGTAGGATGCACACTATCAAAACTGAGAAATGTAGGTGAGGAAATGATACTATACTGAAAATAGAGAAACAATAAAGAGGAATTCTTTTTTGAAGAAGGTCTAAACTTTGCCATTATCCATACATCTGTGCCAAATTTAAAATAATTAGCGATGTGGTACTTACCAGTTGATCAGTTTTGGAGAGTAGAGATGTCAGAAAAAAAATGGCAAAAATGGGGCGTGATTTTCCAATTCCGTATTCTTGCAAGATTTCTATAACAAACAATCTTATCTATAAGAAACTGAAGCCGATCAATAGGGAAAAAAAATATTACCTGAACATTCTAAACTATCAAAGTTTCATGTAGTTTAGCTATGAAAATGAATTTTCTTCATTTTGAGTCATTTGAAAGGATAAACATTTTTATAATTCACTGGTTTGTTGAAATGAGCTGAGAGATGAAGGAGAAGCTATGAAGAATATATAGGGACGTTATTTTTTTTTTTAATTCGATATGTACAGCTGCTTTATGATTTCATGCGAAAGGTCTTCTTTTGTTCAAAACTATTCACTTATAGAACTATTCAGAATTTTTTTCCACAAATAAAATATTTTTATTCAATTGAACTTTCATTGCTCTATTCTTCTTTCTCAATAGCATTGAAATGGTTTAAAAACAAATGGAATAAATGAAAAATTTTCATTTTGAATAAACAGAAAAATGTAATAACCGAAATGAAAAATGAAATGCATTGTAGGTTCCTTATTCGGAGAGAACATTAATAAATAATGAATGCGTTTTTACTACATCACAGAATGAAAAAGTGTATTGGTTAGATTTGGTGTATCACAATTATGAAAAATCGCTGCGATTTGCAGAGTTTGGCTCCATCCACACTTGATTTTTGATGGAATAGATGATTCACCAAATAACAAAAAGTCACTTCATGTAAAAAAAGTTATGTGCTGTTACAATTTTGAGCATTTGGATTGGTGAAAATGTTGAACTGATGTTTGGAAACACACTTTTGCGCACTATCTCCATTCTTCTCACACATTTGAAAAATAATGTTTTTATGAGTGATAGAAAAACGAAAAGAGTTGAAAATGAGGGAGCAGATGTCAATTTTGTTGCGAAGAACAAAAAACTTTGAATTGAATACATAGAAAATATATAATAATAAATCCTTCTTCTTCTTCTGGCAGGCAATGAGAATGCTACCTTTTTCATGAACACGGATCTCCACTAGTAAGTTATCGAAAACGTTATTCAGGAAGATCAATACGAGATAGGAAGATAAATGTACCATTCCTTGTTTCAAACAATATTTTTTTCTGCTCAAAGAGAAATCATTGTCAAAATTTCATTATAGCTCCCTCTCAACAAGAAAAGTTTTCCGCTCAAACTTTCCTGTCTTCTAGAATTCATCAAGATTCTTACTTTCAATTATTCAGCCACTACAATAAAAGGCCTCTGGTGAAAAAAAATCCTGGCTGTTGTAGCAGAGTTGCTGGAGAAAATCTATGTCTCATAAGTTTTAAGATATAAAACTATATGACGAAAGTTTCTCCATGAAAAAATTGAGTATAATGTCTAGAAATCCTGTGAATAAAATCTGATTGAAATTCATAACCAATTTTGCCTGGTTCGGTGATCCAAAATATTTCTAAATGCGGTTTTTTCTATTGGTTGGGAAAAGGATCAAAAATGTTCGTAGATAAACAATTTGGTTGTATGCTAACGTTTCGGACTTTATTAAATCCATCATCAGGGCTCTATAATACAATAATTTTATGAGTGAACAGTATATGCCAATACATATTGCAAAATTCATGAAGTTCATACAATCTCATACTATGTAAAAGAGAAACAAACAGGTGCACTTACCAAACATTAGTTATCCATGTCAAAAAAAAAACGTTTAAAATATATGTGTCGGCAACATAGGTACAAACGAAAATGAGGACTAACCAAATGAAAACACATATAACACAGACACATTAAAAATGATAAAAGATATCAAGGGAGACAAACTGATTAGGAATGGACGTTTTTGTTCGCCTTTAAAAAAATTATAAACAATAGAAGGATATCAAATCACACAGGATGGTGGAAACTTATGTGTATTAAAATATTAAGGAATACGATTTAGTGAATTGAAATAAGCACTATCCAGTCCTTTTATGTCCTTTCTAGTGTTAACACTTTTTTGTTCGAAAATGTGGATCATCTCACTAAACAGTCGTTTACCTAATAAGGGTTGAATATCTAAAATCTTGGGGTTTGCAATAACAAAACTGTGGTTGTTTTCTCTTGTGTATTCAACGAGGGCTGTTTGATTGGCAACATTCAACTTCCTTGTATCTCTTTCATGTTCAATCTGTTTTTAAAGTAACGTCCCGTTTGTCCTACATAATATTCTGGACAATTCTCGCAGTTAATTTTATAAACGACGTGTGATTGCATATTCATCGGAATTTTTGTTTTTTGTTTCGAAAAAATTTTTTTACCTACAGTGTTATCAATTTGGCAACATTCAACTCCCTTGTATCTCTTTCATGTTCAACCTGTTTTTAAAGTAACGTCCCGTTTGTCCTACATAACATTCTGGACAATTCTCGCAGTTAATTTTATAAACGACGTGTGATTGCATATTCATCGGAGTTTTTGTTTTTTGTTTCGAAAAAAATTTTTTACCTACAGTGTTATCAAATTGCGTTTGCGTTTTTGGCAATTTGCTACCAATTTAGACGGTGTTCGGTAGGAGCCAAGACCTTCCACCGCCGCTTGACTGTCCGAAAATATTTTTATTGACTTATGTATGAGGTTGGATTCTTTCAATCTCTGCGCACACATAGATCATAGTTAATATATAATATACATGAAATGGTATGAAACGTTATCTGTCGAAAAAACCAACAAGAAGCTCTAAGTATAGAAATGGTTTCTTACCATTTCGTTAATGTATAATAGATAATAAATGGTATGAAACGTTATCTTTTGAAAACCAACGTGAAGGTGAAGAGGTTCCACAACAATTGTTTTTAACAAACCAACTCGCAATGAACCTGAATTACAAATTCATTCACCATAAATCTAGCAAGCGTGAAATCGTCGATACTCTGAAAATCTAGTAGAAAACGATCAGAGCCCCTCTAAAAAGAGAACCTGTTATAACTAGTGCAATCATCTTCCTGTCAAATGAGCATTGGAGTGGACAAAAACAATTCAATTTTAGTATAGCATCATATTCTGATTCACATCTGAACGCTCACGAAGACAAAGTCGAAGAAGACAAAGTCAAGGACTTGACAAAGTCAAGTCAGGTCTAGCAAGGTCAGTGTGGACCTATGGTTGATTTCGAAGTATCAATATAATCAGCCAGGTTGAGTTAATATGGTACAAGTAATTTTAATTCATGGTTCCATGTCAACCGTTGGTGACATCAATTTGCCAACATATTGTATCTTTCTGTTGAACAAGTCGAATCCCGAGAATAACATTCAGTGTCATGATAAGTGTAGTAGTTTGAACTGCCATTGCCTGAGCAAGAAGATTGCTTAGGCAATTAAAAAAAAAAGGAAGACTGACATCACATCTTCTGCATTTCCTTTTGTTTTTCTTGAACCCCCAGTCGAAAACATTTTTGTTATTCGTACGTTCTATTCAAAAATACATTAGAATTCAATGTCCATCATTTATGAATATTGTTACGTTTTTTCCCGTGGGTTGACCAATAATTGACCATGGTAAACAATGATCGAACTTCATTTTACTTTAAATACAACAAACCCTTATACTTCAACTATTATTCGAATGTCTATCGCCTCACTAGATTACTTCGCGTACGGCATTGTAACTTTCACTTGACTGTATCGATATGCTCGTGGTTAGAGTTTATATATCGTAATCGAATGCGCTAGAAAATTTCGCCAGAGTTCTATCGAAATCGGTAGCATAATTCCCGCTACATCTAGAACGGCAGCGAACATCGTACATGCGCGCGCTCTCGGCTACGTCACGACTGGTTTATGGCTACCAATGATGGCCGGCGTTATTTCCTTTAGGGCATGATTTTTAACAATATTATCATCTACAGATTTCATTTTCCATATGCCAATTCCTTGAATTTCAGATGAAACATTGCCATCCTCGGAAGTTTTGAAGGATATGTTACAGGAACCAATAAAATCGTGGAGGAACAACAAACACCCGATTACTCCAGATTTGAGCGAGAATACAGACTATGCTATTCGCAGCTTGCAGAGTAAAGACAACAGTTGCGAGGAACACAGTTCTTTCTCTTCAGAAGACAATGAACAGAAGAGAATAGAACAAATAAAAGTTGAAACAAATGGTGAGAATTCTGATATATTCTTCTTCTGACTTTACTTCAGTTCATTTATACATTAAACAAAATTTGGGTTTCAGAAAATGTGACGATAGGAAATTACGAAACATCAGATTTACTTCCAGGAATTACTTCCAAACCGCCTCTTCCAAAGAAACTGGAAAAACCAGAATCATCTTCAGTACAGTTCACAAAATCCGCTAAAGACGATAAAGGCATGGACGCCATTAGTGCATATCTTGCTTTGAAGTATCAATCTATCTCTGAAAAGAATTTTCAACCATCAAATAGGAACGACAAAGTTGATGAAAATTACTTTGAGGAACACACATCAGTTAAGAGATGCAACAGGTAGAGCATTCAGCCAAGCACCCGATTCCTTGATCATTGCTGCTTTCAGACGAGCCTTATCGTATACACTTGTAGATTTCATATAATAAACTTTCTTTTTTCAAACGTCAATGACGAATTCAAAAAAATTTCAATCAATACTACTAAAATCCATATAAGAAGGTTCTCAATTTTGATTTGAGATATCTATACCAGGTGCTGACTGTCTAGTTTCCTTATCATTCATCATTTTCGATTCGAGAGATGAATATATTTTCTGATGAAGGGCATGCGATATTGGTGCTATGTGCTATTCTCAGGGAATGTTGGATAGTCATGAATCAACTGAAACACAATTCGTAAATATAAATTTCAGTAGTTATGAGGGGTTTCAGTTCTTGGGTATACCTCCTGCATGAATATTCATCCGATTTCAGCAATTACTCATTTCATTGACTTATACAAAATGAAAATCCTTTTCAAAGAGAATTTTAAACCCAAGTTGAGAATCTCATATAGCAATTTGTTGCATAATACAGATTCACTAATATTTTCCATTGCATATTTCGTCAAGAATCTTAACGTGTAAAATAGTTTTTCGTAGAATTTGTTAATAAGTGGTGCCAAACTGAGTGTGTGATAAACTGTGACCAATATCTCAGTTGCTTGATAAATGATATCACTCCTAAACTCTTCCGGATTTTAAAAAATTAATTTCACAATAAACTTTCTTTTTTCAAACGTCAATTACGAATTCAAAAAAATTCAATCAAAATCAATTTACAGTATTCCTTGCTCTGATTGCCGTACCAAATATATAGATCAAACAGCCAGACTTTTTAAAGACCGTATTTCCTCACATTAAAGTGATTGCAGGCTTCACCCTGAGAGGTTTGCACTCAGGGAACATGTCCACAGGGAGGGTCATGCAATTGATTCTGATTCTGTCAAAATTTCAGCTAAGAAAAGAATGTTTCGAAGAGACTATTCTTAGAAATTGCATTCATCTCACAGTGGCAAAATTGACTAAATAAAAAAACAGACGTCAATCATTTAAGTGAATTTTATTTATATTTACTTCTGATAGATAAAAATTGGGATATTCTAGAAGATAACTCGTTTGATGTTACCTAATCAATATAACATTTCCTCTTCTATTAAATTCCATAATGATACTTAGAAATTTTAAGTTGCATAAATCATTCCTTCAAGGCACCAGAAACTTTTGTTTGACTAAATTTGGATCCAGCAGCTTAAGCCAAGTGATATTTGAAGCTTTATAACTTCTATTTATTATAAGCGAGCGCTTTCGATAGCCGGCTGTGCTATCATCTTCAAGGCTCTACTGAAATTGAACGTTTCATCCTCTTGTTTATTCTTTTATGCGGTTAGAACGCCTTAGGGCAGGTACTGCAGGTACTGTAGGTAAATTTGCCTGTATTTGGGTTACATCAGGTAATATCCTTTGTGGTGGATTTTCTCTAGGTTTACTGTTTCCTACGTGGTTACTGGTTTACTAAGAGCGCCATCTCTGGGTTAGTCTCGGGACTTATTGATCCATGTAGTACATATGTACATATTGTCTTCTTTCAGAAGATTTTCTAGAAGATAACCCGTTTGATGTTACCTAATCAATATAACATTTCCTCTTCTATTAAATTCCATAATAATTCTTAGAAATTTTAAGTTGCATAAATCATTTCTTCAAGGCACCTGAAACTTTTGTTTGACTAAATTTGGCTCCAGCAGCTCAAGCCAAGTGATATTTGAAACTTTATAACTTCTATTTATTACAAGCGAGCGCTTTCGATAACTGGCTGTGCTATCATCTTCAAGGCTCTACTGAAATTGAACGTTTCATCCTCTTGTTTATTCTTTTATGCGGTTAGAACGCCTTAGGGCTGGTACTGCAGGAACTGTAGGTAAATTTGCCTGTATTTGTGGTGGATTTTCTCTAGGTTTACTGTTTCCAGGAATGTGTATTGTTTTTTGTAGTATATTGAATGTTAGGTTTTGTTGTGTTTTGATTTGTATTTGTTCCTCGATAAGTGAATTAGGACGTTAATTTTATGGATGTTTAAGTTTTCCCAGATGTCCATACGGTTTCCTTCATTGACTTGTTTCATGAGTTAATGTTCTCTGGTGGGGGAAAGTTATGTTTGTTTTGTATGGCGTATGTTGCGAGGTTTGATTTATAAATTATTCAGTTTATGTATGCATTTTTATGCTCGTCGTACCTTTGGATCAGTTTTTTCTTGGTTTGGCCGATATAGAATTTGTTGCAGTCCGAGCATTGTATACTGTACACCTCGATGTTGATGTTCAGGGGTTTTTTGTTTGGTGATCTACGTATGTGAATGCAGTCCATCGTTGTGTTGTTTCATCTGTTGGAGTAGTTTGATCCTTGTCTGTATTTTTTGTTTAATTCTACTTTCTAATGTATCTATTGTCTTTTGGGTGTATCCGTTCTCGTTCGTTATTTGGTGTATGGTTTTCCTTTCCTTGTTCCGGGCTTTAAGGCTAAATGTTATTCTTAACATTCTGTATATGAATGCGTTATAGGCAGCCATGTTATGTGATTGTAGGTAGTTTGAACTTGCGGGTATGATGGAGCTTGTTTCTGTAGGTGTATATCGCCATTTGAAATTGGGTTTTGTTGTTATATCCAGAAATATTCAGTTTTCTGTTATCTCTCACAGAGAGGTGAAAAATGTCAAATATATTATTGTTGTACAAAATATTCAATAATCGTGTCGATCGTCCGAAGTTGATAACAAAAATTTTATTGAATACACCTTGCAGGGATTTGCGAAACCATGAATCTCTCTGTTACCACATTGAGAAAAACCAATTCAAGTAAAAACTCTCCTTTATCATCAACTTTATTTTTCTTATGGGCGCTATATTGGATTCTTTCTGTTTTGAATAGAACCAGATTTTACCTTTTTGATGATGTATCTCATAAGTCATCATTCTTTTTCGAAAAATTGTAGATATTGAAAAAAATCATTTCTTATCATAATAGGCTTTGACCTAGATGTTTTCAAAACTTTCAAATTGTTACCCTCAACGACATTTTGTTATTGTACAAGTAATTGAATTTTTGGCGAAAAAAGGCTTTCACGAATGAAGAAAAAAGAGATATGATGCAAATTTATTACAAATACGATCGAAACAGTGTTAGGATATCGTAAATGTATCTAAACTTGTATCCCGAAAGAAGACATCGAATTATGTTCAAGTTATTGGATCAAAATCTCATCGAGTTTGGTTAGTTTGAAAAGTCAATGAAATGAAAGAATACGGAGACAGAATCAACAAACAAAATTTGATAAATAAGGTTTGAATGAGATAAATCAGACATTGTGTCCTTTGAACAAATAACAATAATTAACTACAATGTAATGTAAGGGTACAATGGTACCCTTCTTCGAATATTATTCACTGCACGATTTATTTCTCTCCTCCTCAATATTCCGAACTCTCTAACAATGCTGTGCTGAAGGTCTTCAATATTTTGATATTTCCTCTGAACATAAACTCTATTTTTTAAGTGTACCCCATAAAAATGTATCCATAACACTTAAGTCTGGAGACCATGCTGGCCACTTTACCGGCCCATTATTTCCTATCCATTCATCACCAAATCTTTCAGTCAAGTAATGAGATACTCGTTTGGTAGTGTGCGATGGAGCACCGTCACGTTGAAACCAGATATTGTTGTTGGTAGATCATCCAAATAGTCTTTGAAAATCGACATTAAAAACTGGTGATTTCTCCATTTCTCCATTCAGAATTCTGTCAAATGAAATTCCGACTAACTGACCTCATACATATACCTCATTTATCAAATTTTCTTCAGTTTCCTGGTCCATTCTGTCTCCGTATTTTTTCTTCGGCTTTTCAAATGAACCATACTCAGTGATATTTTGATCCAATAATTTGAACATAGTTTGATGTGGTTTTCGTCTTTCGGGATATAAGACTAAATACATTTCCGATTTCCTACACTGTTTCTATCGTATTTGTAATGAATTTGTATCATCTCTTTTCTTCATTCGTGAAAGCCATTTTTCGACAAAAATTCAATGACTTGTACAATAACAAAATGTCATTAAGTGTTACAAATTGAAAGTCAAATTTAGAAACATCAAAGCTTATGATAAGGATAAATTTTATTCAATATGTTCAATTTTCCGAAAAAACATAACTTATGATACATCATCGAAAAGGTAAAATATGGTTCTATTCAAAACAGAAGGAATCCAAAGTAGCGCTCATAAGAAAAAATTAAGTATATGATGGAAGACGAAACTTCGAAAAGCAAATCTGAAAACACCATTATGTAGCAAAGAAAAAGTGGTAATGTGGAAGTGCAATTTATTTTCGAATCCTTCGAAAAATAAAGCAGGAAGAAAATAAAAACCATTTGCGGAAATTTCTGTTTTTTTCCGGATACCTCCGAATATACTAGGAATTTCAGAACTTTTTCAACGGCATATTGTTAGACAGGTATATGCGCAACTTTGCACTAATTCAACCATCTTCGTATCTCTCATAGTTTCCGAGATCCCGATGTTGTTTTCAGATATGACAATAGCCACGGTTAAAAAAATGGTCAATCTAAGTCTGAACAACAAGGTATACGAGAATGTTGATGACAATTGTTCCTTCAAAAAAGATAAAATTCATTCACTGAAGATCACCAACAACCCAAAGAACTGCATAGAAAACCATACGTTCGTTGATAGAGCGAACACCAAAGACATTCCTTCGAAACCAAATAATGGAAGAAACGTGACATTTTCTGAAATGAACGATCAACATAGGTGTTTTCACACCAACAGTAAGAAAAACGAAACAAAATCTGAATATAAGTAAATAGTTAACAATAATTCATGATAATTATCACACTTTCGTAATGTTTCAGAGATCTCCTTTCATTCTTGGATGAAGTCGATAGGAACTGTTCTAAATCTTTGGAGTCTGCAAAACAAAATGCCAAAATAGTATCTGAAATGGTCCAGTCATCTATTAAACTGGATACAATCCCAAAGTGAGTCCACAATATTTTGTTTTCTGTGTAAATACTGACACGTTATTTTTCGAAACATATAGATCAGAAGACTTACTTGCTCTCAGTAAAGAAGAACTTGTTCAGCAAGTCATCGACTCGAGCCTACGAATAAAAGAAAAAACATCATGCGTTTCCTTACTTCAAGACGAACTCTCTAGCCTCAGAGATCAGGTGATGAAACAGAATAAACAAACCGAAGAAATAGTGAAGCAAAAATTAACTCAGCAGAAAGAAGAGTATGAAGAAGTGATTAAACGTCATCAAAAGTTTATCGATCAACTGATTGCAGACAAAAAAGTCCTGAATCAGCAATGCGAAGGTTTGATTCAAGAAATGAGAATTCTGGAAGACAGATATAACAGCAATACGAAAGCTCTGGAGCATAAACATCAAGTGGAAATCAAGAAGTTGAAAGAAATGCAAATCGCTGGTGAGAAAATGAGGAGGGAGAGATGGATCGACAATAAAACACAAAAAATAAAGGTTTTCAACAATTTTTTTCTTATCTACGTTGTATATTTATAATTTCATTAACATTCAACTTCGGGAACTTTTTTTGTTATATGTTAAGAATTGTTGTTTTCATTTTATTATTCTGTATTTAGCGTCGAAGTTGTGAACTTTGGTTTTTTTGGAAATGATTGATTATTGGTAAAATAACAGTTGTGTCTTTATACTGTATCGATTGTTAATGAAGAATCAAAAATATCGAAAAGAAAATTATGGATCATTCGTATACCAATCGAGAGATACAAGCCATCTGAAGCATTTGATTTCTGTGATGAATCATGCATCACAGAGAAATTGGTTACACGCTATTATGCCTCTTTTAGGCTGTTAGTTGGGTACATTTCCAATTCCATTCTGCACTAATACATCAAAATGATTGACATCGTGAAAGTAGTGAGTTGATTCAACAGTTAGTAATCTGAGCGATTCTCTTCCTCACAGATTTCTTCTCGAGTAACGAGTAAGAAAGTGTGATTGGGGTTACTTAAAGTCAGGGCTGCATTACTTCGATATGCTAACACTTCAAGACACGAACTCTGATTCATCAGAAGCCTACAAATGACTTCACTCTCTCGTGGATTAATCCAAATCAATAATGGAGTTTTCTGACTTTGTTATTCTTTTTCCCTGTTTTGTATTTTTACAAAAGAGAAAACATGGCAAAGTAGCTCGGACAGCTGTTCGTCGGCGGCATATGGGAGTGGATTGATTACTGTGATTCTGTTAAATAAAATAAGTATACAATAAGGGCGCCACTGTCTTTTTTATAAGGTCTTTTTTGGAAAAGATCAGAAACCTAAGGTAGAAAGTAGATACAACAGCTGAAATGGAAAAAAACATACCCAATTTCATATTATTTAATGAGATAAATATTAATTCGTACGTATTATGCAATTAAAACAAAGCATACGATCATATATATTGAACCTTCCCAAGCGTACTTGACGGATAATTTGCTGTATATATAAATATATAGGAGAAAGTGTGTACCCAGGGTAAAATTCATGAATTTTTCCTATTGGAGAATAAAATGTTTTTGTGAAGTTATGTTACCTCAAAAGGGCTTGAACAACAACAATAACAAATTCATATAGATAATTATAAATGGTTTGAATTGAAGGGATTTGAATGAATGGTACTACTTTGAATGAATGGTAATAAATTGTACTCACATAGAACACTGTCACCCTCACTGGTATACACCGATGTTAACTAAACGAAGTCTAACAGTTTATTAGAAGAAAAGAGAGATGGAATGCCAAAAGGTAAATTTGTCAACACAATATCATTTGCGTGTGTGTATAGGTGCTCCTTGACAATTTACCAATATACAGCTTTCAAAATAAACGTTGAACGAGTCAGCTCAAGATTATTCCAATAACATTTATGATTATTTACAAAGGCGTTGACACTGTACATGTGTACATGGGAGGTAGGTTGATACGTTTTTATCAGATTGGGTGGTTTAGGAAAACTAGTTGGTGAAAATATTACTACCTTTTGCAATTCCTAAACTGGAGCATTATACAGGGTGGAACATTGATCACCTTGAAACAAAAATATACGCAATGAGTGAGAACGAAAACGTTACAACTTCATCAAACTTCGTTGATGGTTTCAGGAACTTACTGTTAAAAGTATCGAACCCGAAATTCAAAGTATGGAAAAACGGCAACAACAGGAACTATCTGACATGAGAGCCATACACAAGAAGGAAATAGAGGATTTAGAGCTGAAAGCCGCAAGAAGAATGCAACAGCAGTGTGAAGCACTTCGTGCTCAACTGGTAGAAGAAAGAGAGAAGGCCTTAGCTCATGAAAGAGAACTGATGAGACAAAGGTGAGTCTCAAATTGTACTGTTTCAAGGGGAGAGTCACAGTCTGCAGGTTATTATCAGTTTGAAACCTTATTGAGCATGTAAAAAGAAGATGAAATTTTCTCATTTTGCTCTTTAATTTTGGAGAAATAAACAGAAACTTTCTTTCGTTTCTTGAAGTTTCCAAAATTATTTGGAAATTAAAAATATCCTCTCTGAATTCAATTCAAAACTGAAAATTCAACTCTTTTTTCTTTATGAACGATTGAGGAACATTCACAATAAAATGACGAGACAATTTTTCATACCAAACTCTCAAGACAATTATACGTAGCTTCACAACCCCATTTCCATTTCATTATTGGTATCCATTTCACCTCGTTATGAACCTTCTTGTACGGCTTCATGAACACTTGATATTTATTTTCAATTTTTGATTGATCTCTTCGTGTAATTTTTCATTGCTTTTTTTCGATCTCATCCTTTTGATTCTTGAAATTTCATCACATATTTATTCAAACCGTTTTTCTTTAGTTTCACTTTGAGACTGATGAGGTTTCCAAACTATCACATGATATAAAAATAGGGGAGCCCAAGCGGTGATTTCGGGATTTACTAAAGCGCGGCAGATTAATAAACAGGGGGATACCTTGTACGCGGTTAAGTACCTCCACCAAATAAAGGCCCTATATATAGGGCCGCCTGTGAGGGATAAAGGATCAGATTAGTAAAAAAAATTGATCATTTGAAATTCTCGAGCGCGTCAGATTGAGGTAGGGTGAGTTAATTACCTGCTAAAAAGTATATATTCCAGTAATCTGACAATTTGAGAGTGACGTAAAGAAAGGGGAGGGCAGCAAAG